GTGGTTGGTTGCTGGGACATTGCCCTAAGTAAAGGGCTAGCTAAGGCTACAACGGCGTCTGCAGCTGGTATCATTACTAGTAATGAAGAGTGCAGATGCCGTAAAACGTCGACAATAGGATTTTCGGCTCCTCAGTGATTTCATTTGACCAGCTGCTTGACGAATATCGCGTTGCTCCCACAAACCTTCCCACCAGGCATAAGGGTCCAAGGGTCGGTACTGAGCAAGTTGAAGGGCTAAATGGCTCTGGAAAATTCTCCCATGGAGCCCACTGCTCAGGAATTCGAACGGAAAAGGGATAAAAGAGACTGCTGCAGGGCAGGCTCTGAATAGATTCTTATTCACACCAAGTTAGATCTTTTAGGTATTTCGGTTCGGTAGGCAGGCCACTATTAGGACTGGATTTGAAGGACCAAGTGGGTTGGGAGGTTTCTTCCACTGGGCTCATTTCTCTGGAATCTCAGAGAAAGAGGATCAGAATTGAAGAGTTCCCAGATTGTCATTTTAAAGAGATCCCCTTACGTTTTCCACGGATGAATTGATCAGTCGTATTTTTCCATCCCATTTCACCAACTCAGTCCTTACTTGTCAGTTGAAGTAGGCGGAGAGGGTCCTGATAGACATTTGGGTATTTGAGTTGTTACTGCCGGCTTGGGAGGGGGCCTGTGTGACTCGCAGCGCTTTTGCCTTACCCCGAATCCGTCCTACCCCGTGGTAGTTCGAGGGTAGAAGACTTGAGTAAAGAGAGGGCATGCAGCTAGAGTGGCATCCTCGTATTACAGAAGGATCACCCAACGGTCGACTCTGCCGGCTCTACTCAGGGAATAGGCTGATTAGTCGCTCTTTTCTTCATATTCTGCTTACTGCTTTCCTACTTACCAACTCCAGTAGGTAATGGTACTCGTGTCCATTCAGACTTCCTTCTCATTCATGGTCGTTTTTGTTTCTGTGCATTCAGCAGGTCCCAGTAAAAACATTCAATGTCTTCATAGAACGAGCCCACCCATTAGTCGTAGACAACTCTTTCCAAGATTGCCAGCTCTACTGCCAATCCACTATTCACAGACGACGTCATTATTGTTTTGGAAGGCTCAGACGGCGAATAGCGTTGAATGGGAACGTTCCCACTCCAACCTCTTCGTCGTTTTTGACAATATCGCTGGTCTAGGGAACAGCTCCACCGTTGGCATTAGGCAGGTACTTACCTGAGTTCAATATTGGCGCTTCGAAAAAGGCTGAGAACTTCGGCGCTACAGATCCCTCGCCTTCCCACTAACCATATCCGTCTTTTCGTGGAATTTCATTGAGATCTGACGGCTATACACGTGTTTTCTTTGCTTCACCCCACTACTCAATTTGAAGCCACTGTCTTTCGTCCCGGCACTTTATTCATCAAATGATGTCAGGCCTGTCAGACTTTTTACCATTGGTAACCCATAATCGTATCCTTCTAGCCCATTGGCCTTGGAATTGAAATGTCGTAGGTTGCCTGGACACGAGCTACCCTATTCTCGTTCAAAGGGATTCACAAATTATGTCTTTCACTAGTCAGCTTGGAATTTTCCTGCCGAACTCTGTGATGGACAAAATATTTGCTAATGCTGTTACGCAAGAAGTGTTCCAGCGAAACTCCTATCAGACTTCATAAATTACTTGGCTTGGCTCTGGATTGACGGCTTGGTAGGGTACCTGCCCGGAATAACAAAGAATAGGTGTGGATGAGTTATGGCATAAAGGAAATCCTCGCAATCGCTACAACCCACTCCCGGTGCAAAACCAATGTCCCCCCACTTGCCCTTTCGGCCAATATCTGTGTTATTAACAAATACCTTGAATTTCTCATAAAATTGGCGAATTATGGACAAAACTCCGGCCTCGGACGGGGCTCGATCCTGTCCCTGTGCTATCCGGGCACCGTGATGATCGAATTGAATCCATCACATGGCCCCCGAGTGATTTGAGGGAGTCTGCAATTTCGCGAATTAAAAGTTGTCCCTGATTATCTGGTCGGCTCTTCACCGCTATCACCTATGACCACACAGATACCACATAATTCCATCGGAATGGGTGACTTCGAGGGGCTTCGTTTTATACTCAACCGAGCAAGCCCATTTTACTGATTCCCATGAAGATTACTCCAGTCTCATGNGAGTGTCAGAATGAGAGCCAAGCAAAGTGTCAATTCTCTCCACTCGCCCGAACCTATTGAATCACCGATTTTCCTTCTGAGCTCTTACTTGAGGAAATCAATTCGTATACATATCGTTGCCTAATTCCATAACTTCATACATAGATGACTAGTTTGGAATTATATTCGACTACCCAATTAAAAATAAGTGTTGTATACCTGTTGCCCTGGTATTTTGCTAGATGTTTTCGTCCATGACACTATTTTTAGCTCATATCTCCCCTTTATCCCTACGTATCCAGCACCACAATTAGCTATTCGAACTGAACAAACAAAGCTTACCACATTCATTTGAGTTCGATTGCGTATAGCATACCAGTAGCGGCTCAATTTTCCTCAAACTTTGGATTATAGAATAATTATTAGTGGAGTTGGAAACAACTTTGTGCCGTGAGGGTCGTTAGGTTCGTTTTTGATTGCGTTTACATTTTTNCACCACAATTAGCTATTCGAACTGAACAAACAAAGCTTACCACATTCATTTGAGTTGGATTGCGAATAGTATACCAGAAACGCCTTAATTTTTTCTCAAATTTCGGATCATAATTCTCAAATGTGATTATTAGTGGAGTTGGAAAAAAACTTTGTGACGTGAGGGTCGTTAGGTTCGTTTTTGATTGCGTTTACATTTTTCCCTCCTGAAACGTTCAAATTTGTAGCTTACATTCATTTTCGATAACTGATTCACATGTTTTCTATTCGAAAGTGATAAGCTCGAAAATCCCACGTTCTTTCAGGTTCTCGTAAGAAAAGCTTTGAAACAAAAGCAATTGAAAGGACGGCGGCGATTGAAACTGGTCGGGAAACTCTCATAGAGATCGACAAGGTGATTCAGAACTATCTTCATTCAAGTAATTTATTTTTTACTGAAAAAATCTATTTGTGTTTTGGAAACTCAAGGGAGAATTCCTGTAGAATGATAGTCCGAAAATCTACAAGTGTGGTCAGAGAGACAAAAATCTTGGCCCACAGCCTAAATTTCGAGCCCAAGTCAGGAAAAAGCGTAGTCCCATGGTTAGATTGAGGTAGCAGTTGAAACAACTGGAAGTGGTCTATAAAAATTATACAAAATCATGTAGTAACTAGAGACGGATCTTCTAGCTTACGTTTTTATAGTGTACATGAGAAGAAGAAATTCTTGAATAAGAATTGTATAATTTGGGCGTTCATAATTGTAGTCATTCGGTTAGATTTCGCTTGAAACTTTCTTCGAATGTGGGAACGAACGATACTCGCACACCGTTGGAATATCTGGTATTTGGGAGACATATGGGTCTGATGCCGTGACCGGACAATATCCACATCCTACTCCGTAGACGGATTTAGTTCCCTCAACATAAGGTCAGTCACAGAGAGGCCTCGTCTGAACCCAATCTTCTCAAAAACAAATTATATATGGCCTGACCCCGGAAAGCTTTCCCTGTGCAACCATATGGACGCCATGAGCTACTCTGGGAAATCTTGAAGGTTCCTATTGTCCGCAGAACACTTATTGCGATTTGCTACCTTTTTTCCTTTTTTTTCTTCTTCTACTTGGATAATAGCCAAGATTCCTTAATCTATGTGCCGTGTAATGATAACAAACAATAAATAAATATTCGAGAGTGTCATTAAACTTCCTTGAAGGGGATAGAGAGGGGATTGAGACGCAAGAAAAACATATCTGGTGTATTACTCACATGTACATCATAATACTATAAGCTTAATCTGCATATATTAATCTTTTTTGATCCCTCGTTTTTGGAAGAGCCATCAGTACAGCTAAATGACTTCCTCTCTTTGACAGGATGGGACATATCCATGAAGTTGCTTGAACTATCCACATAGATTCATACTTCAATCTTAACATGATAAATTAGCCATAGAAGATATGTTGAGGCCATTTCCCCTTAAAATATTTAGTTTTAGGGGTAGGATCATAGGCACAGCAGTAGGGACCATTTTCCGCATTTTGGCTAAGAAACCGATGAGAGGAAAGATGTGTAGGACTATTCGGGAGGTGGTGTAGTGATAAGTGGCGCGCAATCTCACACGCACGGTCACAGGTTTGAGTACCGGATCGATATCCGCCTAGGACTACCAAGCTTCCATCCATCCGGGGTCGGTCAATTGGTTCAAGACCCGTCTGGGAGGGTAAAGAACACTGGCTTGAACATCTTCCGACCATCACAAGTCATTGTATCTACCACATACTCATTCAATACGCCACTATGATCCTGAATGGGATCGAATGAAAGGGCGCATCTCTCAGACGGGATTGGGTGAGGCCTAGAGACTTTATCCCCTTATCCTTTGACTTTTCGTGAATTTCTTATTTTAACTGCATTACATGCCCCCAGCACCCTTTTTTCGGGGTTGCGGAGGTATAGAAGCGGGAATGGAGGAGGATAGAATGGAAAGATTAGTCTCAGAGGTCCCATACCTCAACCGGAGCTGGCATAAGAGCGCTGTCGGACTTTTGTCGTGAATTTTTTATTTTCAAAAATATTCCGAGAGCTCAACTCATAGAACGATTCCCAAATATCAAAGCTCAGACAATCCCTGGGACGATTGAGGAGATTGCCCGAACGACTAGGATGTTTCTCTTGCATCTAGTGATGTAGGTGAGCGATTAAGGGTATGCCCCAACTGGGTGATTCATGCTCCTCGAGTCCGTATTGATCCAGATTACGTGACGGTATGAGAGATGTGCTTGCATTTTACAGAGCTCTTGAATAATCCATAATTCTCCATGGGTATCCTCTCGTCCAACTGTTCCCAGTATCTGCTTTGTTTTCGTTGGTGCAGGAAAATGAGGCGAAACTAATCAACCATGAATGCATCCCTGACATGCTTGCATAGAAGCATACTCATCGTGTTTTTTTCGTTTCAGGATGGCAAAGGCCTTGGTCTGTCGATTGTCGGTGGATCGGATACGGTATTGGGTACGGTGGTGATCCATGAAGTCTATCCAGATGGTGCTGCTGCACATGATGGACGACTGAAGCCTGGAGATCAAGTGCTAGAGGTTTGTGGCTGTTCAATTTCAATTATCACTGCTATTGCTAATAAGAAGTAAAAACATGGCTAAGGTGGCGTAGTGTTAAGCGGCGCACTATTAAGCATATGGTTCGGGGATCGAATCCCAGAACGATACCGTCCAGATCAACCAACTCTTCCATCCGAACAGAGTCGGTTATTTGGTAACAGGCTCGTCTGGGAGGATGAAAGCAATGATCTGCACATTCGATGGCCGCCGCAACTCATTGTATGGGCCATCTACGCATTCAAACGCTACCAGGTTACGAGCGGAAGTTGAACGGAGCGCATCCCATAACAAGATCGATCAATGCCAAAAGTTTCGTGATTTATTTGCTGAGAGAACTTGCAAATCACTACCTCTTGAAGGCTGAAAGAGTTCCAAAAACCGTCAGGTAGAGTCGGAGGAAAGTGTAAATTTATGAGAATCCCAAATTAGGCCTTATCTTACCACGCTGAACCTAGATAACTATGCCTTCCAGAAAGCAAATTTGATCCCAATTTAATTACATTTTCCCTATCTCATTTTCAAATGATTTCTTCGTAAGGTCTAGACATTCCCGAACATAGCTGAGAACCGATGGCGTCAACTGACGTCGTTGGGAATGTGTGAAAGCAAAGAGAAGAAGTGGCGATTAGCTGAAACTTCGGAAAAAGCCTGAAAATATGATATCACCGATGACGATAGCTTACTCCTTTCATAAAGAAGAAGTATAATCGAGCGTGACTAACCCTTCATCAAATCTTTGACTTTTTTAAGTTCATGGCGCGTGAAACTCAATTCCTTTCATGACTGCCCAATTTCTCTCCATAGATACGTTCTGAACGGAATTTGTGTGATATTTGACGTTTGACGTGATACGGTAAGTGCTAATTGGTATGAGAGTAATGGAGAATGCAGAAAGTAATGCTAGAAAGCTGTAAATTGAGATGAAATTATTGCAAAAACCCTAATGTCTGATCTCGGTCCTTGATATCTAATCAGGTTCTTATAACCTTTACCGTAGCCTGCCATACTCATATCGTACCGCCAAATTTAGAAGGAGGAAGTATGTCTTCTAGCAATTTTGGGATGGACTTAGGATACCGGTATGAAAGAATAAAAGTACAGGCTTGGACATCGGATAGCTACCACAAGCCATTGTATAGGCCACATAAGCACTCAAAACCCCCCACGAATCCGCATTCTAATTGCACTCGGAGTCGTAGGGGGTTTTCAGTACGTATGGGGCCTATACAATGACTTGCGATGGCTTGCCGATGTCCAAGTCAGTGCTTTTATCCTTCCATGAGGGTATCCTACTGTTTCGCCGGCCCCGGATAGGTGGGAGACCTGGTTCACCTGGGCTGGTATCGGTCCAGGATTCGATGCCCGGGACGTGAATGGGTGTAAGCACATCACTTACACTGTAGTACCGATTTCTTTATTATCCCCTGCGCCACAACTCGTTTCCATACTTTGTATTTGAAAAAATGTTTGAAAGGTACACCATCTGAAATGGATGATGCCTCTGGCAGGCGTTTGCCCTTGAGACTGTTATGTTGGACGGAGAGGCTGTAAACCGAGCAGAGGAGATTCAGTTGTAATGGAGAGAAGAGCCAGGCGCTCAGTTCACCTACCGGTACTCAGCTTTACCTGAAGAAACCCTTCGTGATTGATAGTTTCGTAAATTTTTCGTGGGTGGGGATCTATGGTCTCTGAGGAGGTCCTATAGGGCACTATCGGTTTGAAAGCAGCCCGAATATGGCCCGATATAGGCTCAAAAACAGACTAATTCTCCACGCCGCTCGATCCTCTCAAAAAAGATGCGTCGAATGGCTTTGTAAAATTTGATTCCATTCAAAACTTTTTACTTTGTACTTAATATCTCCTATTGATAACACTGCACTTTTGACTTGTTATATCCTCTTTGTTCTCAGTAAATCGTTTCGTTGCTCGATTAAGGAATTTGCTCTCTGTGGACTGAAAGCTAACTAGAGGCCTTTAAATGCTTGGCGGATTACGGTACGCGTGATAAAAATGTCCCTCAGTACGTATTTGCACAAAATAGGATGTGTCCATTCAAATAATCGTATTTCCTTTGCTAATCCTTGATGACATCGTTCCTTAGCCCTCGGTGAAATATTACGTACGGGCATGTCAATCCGGAGATTAGCTGTCTGTCAGGGCACAAATGTTGACAACCACTAATCCCATTGCTCTCAAGTTCAATTATCGTAATTTCCCTGATTTTCAGGTGAATAATGTCTCGTTGCGGGGAGTCACTCACGATCAAGCCATCTCATCCCTTCGCCGAACTCCTCCAAAGGTTAGCACACTTCTCTTCTCATTAGCAGAAATTCCTGTTGACGCTAGAAGGGATATAGTGTGTGAACGAGAGACCCAGAATATCAGACAACAGTCGCTTGTCGCCTAGTATAACTGCAGCCTTAATAGGTCGCCTGAAAGTTCGACTTTTCAGGTTCGACTTCTTATCTATCGAGATGTGAACCTTCAGCTGAGCCTCCTCGATCCCACCCAAATCTATAACATGTTCGAAGTGGAACTGGTAAAGAAACCTGGAAGGGGCCTTGGATTGAGTATAGGTGATCATTATTTTTATATTAACTTTATCTTAAACATTACAGATGTATATTAAACTGGAGATTTTCTCCTTGATCGGCCAGTCAGTTGACACCGCACGCCAAAAACATCCTCATGACATACATAGACAGCCAGACGAAGTTCAAAGATTCATTTAGCAAAAAATTCAAAAGCTTTTGGATAACGTGAGGAGAGAGGATGACACCCTATATTAGCAGGATACATCAGACGGTTAATAAAGCTGTTTTGTGAACAAATCTTTGGTAGTGAATTCCTCTTCCAAGCCTGAATGGTAGCACTCNGGGGGGGGGGGGGGGGGGTATCAAACCGGATTCCATCCCCTACACTATTCGTGGGGAAGTGGCGCTTTTGTGCACTAGTTCACTCACTGCAGTAGTTTGTTAAGCAGCGACTTTCAACAAAAACCTGAGAGCAACCATCGTTGGGAAGCATTTTTAACACTTGCTATTTCAGTCGGCCGCAAAAATGAGCCTGGTGTCTACGTGAGCGAAGTGGTAAAAGGTGGCGCAGCCGAAGCTGACAACCGATTGATGACTGGCGATCAGGTAGCGTTTAATAACCACCTCTCCTACATTGTATTACAAGTTTCATTGATTAACAACATAGCTAACACCCTATATTCATTTAATTTGTGATATAATTTACATGATTTTATGGTTTTATCAGATTCTCGCTGTCAATGGTCAAGATGTGGCGAATTCAATGCAAGAAGATGTGGCCGCTATGCTGAAAACATGTGTTGGACGAGTTTGCTTGAAGGTTGTCAATTTTTATCGAGGATAGGAAAAATACTCGTCCGCTTTTCTGCTTCTATGAGTTAGTGTCTGCGAGGTTTCCCGGAGCCTGTGAATTCTGTATGAGCCTTAAAAACAAATTATACCCCTCAAGAAGGCTACAGAAGCTTTTTTCAACAATTAATCTTGCAATCGTTATAAGGAAAAGTTCATGATGNTTTTTTTTGAAGTTTTTGGCCATTACGATTCTATGGATATCCACTGAGGTCCGAACGTGCTACTTCCCCAATCTTTTGAGTTCGAGGTTTCTTATGCAGTAGTACCCAAAACGCAATGCACAACTGATCTAGGCTTAGAAACACTCTTGAGTTATTTGATTTACTGAATGGTTTTAATTCAAATCGAAGGTAGAAAGGGGAAAAGCCTAGATCTTTAAAAGCTCTTCTTGAAATCAATGGGCCTTGACTGCACGGGATTAAGGGTACAGTTCACGATAGAAATGATTGCTGAGCATTCTCCCCAGGATAAACACGTGAACCCTAAGGTTAGCACAAGGGAGGTGGTCGGGTCAAAAAAAGGCCCAGCTAGGGCGTAATGAGGAACCCAAAACCGGCTTGGTCGACGTACACACCCGAAGGCAGACGAGTTATAACGGTCGTTGCAGTAAATATCCAAAAATCTCACAAGCGCAAAACTCGGACCATGGACGGGACTCGAATAGTTACTTGTGCTTTATGGGCAGCGTGCTCTTTGACCCCTTACTCTTTTTACTGATATTTGTGTCTCAAATGAGAGCAGAAAGCGCTATCAAAGTCACTGGACTTTTCGGCGCAAAGTAGTTCTTCCTACGGAAATCACTTTTGGGGTTCGGTCTCTTAAGTGGTATAGACGTTGCAGCGATGAGTAGGGGGCGCAAGAGACATTGAGGGAGTCAAATTAGATAATGGAAGACAACCAAGAATCAGATATAAGCATGTAGTTTGTGGGGATAAAAGGGTCCCTGTATAGGTATGAAAAGGTTTCATGAGGATAAAAGAGTTTCGATGCATATAAATAAATAAAGATAACTATAAATAAATAATAATATAATATAATGATAAATAAATAAATGTAAAGGTTTTGCTGTGCTCGAAAAGTTACCTAGCAGATTACCCACTCATCAGTTAAGCTGCATAGGAATTCACAAGTTCGCAGCAAAAGCGCAGATCTGGGTATCCAACAGCCTCCCCCCACCATGTCATCGTTCGGGTGAATTATGGCTTCATATAACGCTGTGTTTTTAATCAAAACGAGCTCGCGAGTTTTCCAGAATGAAACGGGATTGGTCGAAAAAATTCGTATCCCATTGTAACCACTCAAAATGACCTTGATTCAGGTAGGACGGTGGAAAATCACGGAAACGGCGAATCGTGTGCATGCGGAAGCCCTTTCTCGATCCCAGACAACCCCACGGGTACGTGCTTGTTTTTTATTGGCTTCACTATTATGCTGGCAAATTTCAGTTACACATATTTAGGCAGATGAGTCGCGACCGTCAGGGTCTACTGAAAAACGCGATGTGCCAGCACCAGCTCCGCCTCTTCGACCCATCATCACCCACACTTCTCCGGAAGGAGAAGCTGTGGCTGAAGCAGATGTACATCTATCGCCTGTTACTGAAGAGCCAAGCAGCGGTACTGATCAGGTGAGTGAAGACGGGAGCCACTTGATTGGGTGTTTTTTCAACGAACGGGTTTCAGCGAAGTCTTCAAGACGAAGAACGTGGTGTAGTGCAAGGAATGGAACTGTTAAGTGATTTGAAAGAAGAAGGAAGTGACACCTTACTACTGGAGTTAAAAAAGGTACGACCGTCATACTACGAAAAACAGTACTCTAGAGAAACAGCAACATAAAAAGAGGCTCTTTTTCGCCATAGAGATTTACTTCTAGTGGTTCTTTGAAATCTCAAGTTGAAGTTTATGAAAATCAGCCTAGTTTCCATAAATGAGTGATGAACCTGAATACTGCGTAAAAAGTTAAATTCTGACTTATCTTGTTCGGAGAGGTTGGACAAGGACCTGCAGGGTCTTGGTAGTGTAGCGGTTAACCACAGTCTCCAGCTTCACAAACGAAGGTTCGAGTCCTATGTGGTACCAAGCGCCCAAATCTTGGCCTGATATGGGGGAATAGGGTCTGTACTCCGGTCGAGCAAATATAAGGAGAATCTCGCGATCCAGTTCCTTAAATCCAATCTACGTTGGCTTCCTAAAATGCACAGAATTTTTACTGAGAAAAAGAGATCTTAAGCGAGTCTGAACCCACGAAAAGATTGAATCCTCTTCATACTAGGTACTCATCAGACAGGAATTTTACTAGTGAATGAATTACTCGTAGTTCTAACTATTAATCTCTTTACTACTTTCCCAAATGGTCATTTTCGGAGCTAAAACACTCAACACTCAAAATTCCCTAAATCTTTACCCTGTGAGTTCTGCACGGTGAGAAATGATCCCTCAACCCGTTCTATGTAGGATAGATTACGGGTTTTGCAGTTCCAAGACATCGGATACGAATTTATTCTCAACGAGATAATCCTACAAAAACCTTGTTCACACATTTCGTCACATTGTATTTGTAATGATGTAAAAGTGTATCGGTGGCAGTTGGAAACCAGATTGGTGATGTCTTAGTTGCTATTCCAAAAGTAGCGATCTTTCAAAACGAGGAACTCCCTAGAAAAGCAGAAGTTTGATAAAATATTACGTCAAACTAATTTTTTGAATTCAAAACGTTTCCACTCTTAACATTCGGTATTTATCTCGGAAACATTCTCCATTACAGATTCCCGATCAACAGCTTGGAATGGGCATCGGAAAGCGGTCCCGTGGAATTCTTGTTACCTCTTTACAACCTGGTTCAGCAGCCGCTGAGAAGTTGAAAGTTGGCGATCGGATATTGGCCGTGAACGCTTTACCCGTCACCGATCAGGTTTGTTCGTTTTGGGCCACCCCTTATAACGCCATTTGCCCCATCAAGATGTACCTCTTACCAACTAACTTTTCATAGAGTCCCTAGGTGGGAGGTTTGTAGGCAGGGCAAAAGGCCTACCTGTACTGATCAAAGTTGATCCCTTTAGATTGCAACACGCGATCGCTAATTTATGGGTTACTACTGGGAGTGTCAAGAGTAATACAACACTCATCGATTCCATGGATTTCACTGGGGTCTTAACCGTTCTATAATGCGCTAGGCGGGACAACTAGCTAGGACAACAGCGTCGGAACTCTTGCGACACACTCGTTGTCCATGTAACGCGTTCCAAATGTGGTCTTTCTACTTAGGGGTTTTCTAGCACCCAAAACAGCACTCACGCTATACAACTGGTATCAAACGAGTGCCGGAACTTCTCCACGAATTCCCACGAGAAGCGACAAAGGTCACGCGACGGCTACCCTATCCCTGCACTGGGAATTTATACCTTTCCCTTTAAATCGGGTGCGGCGAACGCGACGCTTCGGGGAGAAGGTCCCGGACAGAATCATCAGAAACAAACAGATGGAAGAGGTGTTGGTGCTTTTTTATTCCTACGGTAGCGACATGAGGTACACCAGCTCTTCTTTCACCCATCTGGAGCTGTTTTCACAGAAGCAAAACACGTTTCATTTCAGCTCTCTGCGGTGACGTTCGTAAAAGCAAGTGGTCCTCGGCTGTTCCTACAAATCGCTCGACCACGAACTGCTCCTCAATAGCAGCAGCAGCAGAAGAGCAGCAATCAATCAAACTAATCAATCGTTCAGCACCGAAAACACTGTGATACGGGACCATATTATGGCAATGAGCTCGACAGGGTTATAGTAATCGCGTGGGAATTCCCCTGTTGGCCTAATAGTTTTCATTCGTTTAGAAATGTTTGTATTCAAATATAAATTTAGCAGTAAATCGTTTAGAATGCTACATTTGTGACTACTGTATGAAACTCGATTCAGAATCGACGAGCTTTTTCATTTCCATTCATCCATTCATCGGTTTTTTGTCTCATTTTTGACTTTTTGTTAGGGAACTCTTATCAATTCACACAAAGCTCTGCCATAATGTCTTTTCAAGCCCATTTCATTATTTGTTGTTGTGTTTTGTATTACTAATATGTGCATACTCACATTTATGGTTAATATTTTTGTCGATATCTGAAGAGAGTAAATATCTATGTCAAAATTGAAGGTGCAAAATATTTATTGACTTGTTTATTTGTCTGTTCGTCTGCATTCAAACACATATTCTTACATTCAAGAGGAAATATTACAGTACTGCCAGTAGAAGAGCTAACAAAAACTTTCCAAAGCTAAACCATGGTCAAGTACCTTCTAGAAAACCAAAGTCTCCGTCTTCCCCCAGGGGCCATTCGGGCACAGCCCAGGGTCCGCTTTCCGTTTTCCGATGCTGTTGGATGACTTCACTTCCTTCCATCTGCTGCATCGTCTGCCGTTACCTTGGCTTTGTAGAAGTCCTTCTCAATTAAATCTCTCCATCTTTTTCCATAAACTTGAAGACAACAAAAAAGCGATAGTTCACACTAGAAAAGCAGTGAAGGGTATGTAGAAGTAATGTTTTTTGAAGTTCGAAGAGACAACTCTCAAAAATAAAGGGAAGTCTTCGTGGGGACATAGGGCTCAACAGGTATCGTCACTTTTGTCGTATCAGAAGGCCTTGAAGGGATAGAGAGCTTGCTCGAGCCGAATGAGACCTCGCAAACATCCCATGAAGTGAGACTGCCTTTTTCACCACCCATTTCTCGACCAAGAATGCTGCGGATTGGAACTTTCCCTGTATCGCTTGTTCCTCTCATTGCGTATAGGCGTTAACACTGTCATATGGCAGATTCATTCATATCCAAATAAATTTTTTCTATCCTCTAATCCACAAGGATCCCAGTTTACAGGGACCACCAATTTTAGACTTTTTGTGTATCAGATGAATGGTCCTTTGGGGTTACTAATTTCTTCCAAGGTGTAGGTTTTCTAACAGAACATTGGAATTTGGATATCATTCTTTGCTTCTGATATCGTAATTCACGAAAGATTGGTGTGGTGTTAAGTGAACGGTAACGAACAGTATCCATTGTCTTTTCCCATGACCACCTTATCGCAGTTTACATTTGCCTGCTCCCTCCAACTCAATGATTCCTAATGATACAAACAGCATGAGATACGGAGCTGGCAACGAACAGTAGTCGGTGGTCGAGCACTGTTTTCTGCGCGTTCCTCGTGAAGTAGGCTGCTGGTTCGGTTCAGACGAGTGCATGCTTCTACATTGCCAGAGATGTTGGGTGACACCATCTGCCTGCACATGGACGTGGAATGCCTAGAGCGGTCGCCGCTTATATGGGGCGGAACCCTTCCGGAGAAAGAGTCAGCCAAGGGAGATATTACTTCTAAATTTGGCCCGCTGGTCCACTTCTACGTAACGCTGCTCGGAAATTGGCATCGAAAATTTTCACTAAAATGAGTTTGATGGCTAGTTGAACGCCTAGCGATGCAGTATGTAAAGAAGGCTTCCGAAACAATCAGTGCTGTGGTCCGATGTGGTCTAGTGGTTAGGATTTGCGGCTCTCACCCGCAAGGCCCGGGTTCGATCACCGGCATCGGAAGACCTTTTGCGTTTACTGAATCATTTTACATCAGAAATGCCCCGTTCGTACTACGCGTTCTGTCTCTATTTGCTAGATACAACCTATGTAGCAATCGACTGATTCAGCCTTTACTTGTGCAATGTTTGGCGGAACTACTGGAAGCCGTAGGCAACTTACAGATTCTCGATTCTTCCAAACGGGATGGCAACGTTTTCACATCTTCTATTCATCTTCACAGGCGTGCTTCACCATGAACTCGATCGTGGACCGATCTACTTGGGGACTGGACTCACAATCAGTGATCGGTGCCGTTCAACAACTGCCTGCAATTTACCATTGCCTGCTCTCTCCGAATCAGTGAATTTTGCAAGTTCAACCCGGATGACTTACGCTGCTGGAGGTCCGAAGGGCCGGCGGGCGATTAGGCTCAGCAGGGCCGAGCCCACAATCCCTCCATTGGAGGGTTGTGGGCTCGGTCCTGCTGAGCCGAATCGCCCGCCGGCCCATCGGACAGCTCGGGGAAGCCGGAGTAGGCTTCAACCGCCATGAAACCGGTTTTCAGGCTGGAGTGCCGAGGAACAAGCGGAAGCAACGTGGCCTCACGGTGTAGTGGATAAGAGTCCGGACTCATTTCTGGGAAGTGGTGGGTTCGGATTCGGCGGCGTTACACAGCAAGCTTTGTGCTTGAGTACGAGAGCGCTCTCAGGCTAGGGCATATCTGCAAAAAAGGTTAACAAAATTTTCATAATAAGTAGATCTTAATCGAGCGTGGTCAAATTTTGCAAAAAGAATGTTCAAGCAGATGGCTAAAATTTTAAGTTTTGAGAGGACTTTCAGTTGCGAGCTCAAGAGGTATATACAATATAAAAAGCATATCTTTCCAAGCTACAACTTTCTCGGGAGTTATAGAGGTTGAAGCTTGGGGGCTTCGAGCTAGTTCTGCTGCCATTGATAAAATTAATGGTCAATGAAAACTTTCAAGAACAACAGACAGCAGTCATTTTTTGAAAATATTTTTTTTCTTCTACATAGCTGTTATTCACTTATCAGTACCAGAAAGCACCTCCTGCTCCTCGAACTATCTGCACTCATTTTGACTTGATGTTTTGTTAACTGCTGTTTTAACGCCGCAGTGCGCGAAGCGAAAGTCTCACAAGGTTGGCGATTTGTGGGCAAAACTCCAGTCTCGGACGGGACTCGATCGCGCTATCAGGGGAGATCTGAATTTTCAGCGGAAGGATACGGCAGTCACTGCGGAACCACTGCCGCTGGTCGGCGCTACACCACAAACTTTGGGCTTGAGTCTACGCATGATCCAACAATGCTCGATTCCTTGGTTAATACTGTAATCCATTACTGCATTCCCTCTACCTTCAGACTGTTCTCTGCCCTCTCTTGTTCAAGGATAATCACCAGCGGAACAATTTGAAATATGTCGCAAACACCGTCGCGGTAACGGGACCAACTTACCGTTAGGTTGCACATCAACTCAGAAAGTTGGTCACCAGTAGAGGAATATGTACTACCTACTCGAAGAAAGCAGAACTCACTGGAACTGCGAAGCACCACGAAAATTGAGGTTGTAGTCCTTTCGAGTTCCGCGTATTGTGCGAGAAAATTGGCTTACTTATTGTTAGATTGAGTGGGACCTGCAAACTACTAATCTTCGTCTTTGAAGCCTCAAGGAATCTTTTGACAACAAACACTATACATATACATATGGAGGAGTTTCAAGACTGAAGCGTTATGATTGGCTAAGGAGATTGGTAAAGGGAAATGCTCAAGCTAAAATAGCTGATCTAAGGAATTCGCTACGTTCCGCAGCTCACTTGATACAAAGTTTGTTAACATATTTTGCAGACATAGCATAGCTTGAATGCACTCTCGTGCTTAGGCTCAAGCACAAAACTTCATTATGCTTCGCCGCGAACCCGAACCCGTCACTTCTCGATCGTGAGTCCGAACTCTTACCCGCTACACCACCACACCACATTGGATACGCTGGGCCGTCCGTTATACCACCTTGTGAATCAGTTCCATGACAGGCTGAAGCCCATCTCGGCTTCCCGCGCTGTCCGATGGAGGGTTGTGGGCTCGGTCCTGCTGAGCCTAATCGCCCGCCGGCCCATCGGACCTTTAGCAGCGTATATCATCTTGGTAGAACTTGCAAAATTCAATGATTTGGAGAGAGCAGGCATAGGTAAATTACTAGCGGTTATTGAACAGATCCAGTCATTGAGACTAGTCCCCAAGTAGATCGGTCCATGATCGTGTTCATGGTGAAACACGCATGTGAAGATAAAGAGGAAATATGAAAACGTTGCCATCCCGCTTGGAAGAATCCAGAACCTTTAGAAGGGTCATTCATCATGGAAGCATTTCTGATGTAAAATTATTCAATAGGTCCACAATATGAAGACAACGCAAAAGCATTTTAGATGCCGGGAACCGAACCCGGGTCTTGCTGGTGAGAGCCCCAAGTATTAACCACTAGGCCGTTGCACTGTTCGCTTCAGAAGCCTTCTTTACACATTACATCGCTGGCATTCAACTAGCCATCAGACCTTTGCCAATGAAAAATTTTCGATGGCAGATTCTTGCAGCGTTACGTGGAGGCGGATCAGGAGGCCAAAGGTAGAAGTAAGATTTTCCCTGTTTGACTCTTTCTTCGGCACAGTTCCTCTTCACATAACTGGCGACTGCTCCAGTAACCTCCACGTCCAGGTGCCGCAGCATGTGTTACCCGGCACCCACGGTAATGTAGAAGCATGCACTCGTCTAAACCGAACCAGCAGCCCACTTTACGACGAACGTGCGGCAGATTCGACTCGACCACCGTTTATTGTACGTTGCCAGCTCCGTATCTCGTGCTGTTTGTATCAGTAGAAATAATAGAGTTGGAGGGAGCAGGCAAATGTAAACTGCGATAAGGTGGTCATGGGGAAGACAGTGGATACTGCTCTTTACCGTTCACTGAACACCACACCAATCTATCGTGAATTATGATATCAGAAGCAAAGAATAAGGTCCAAATCTTAATGTTCTGTTGGAAAGCATACACTTTTGAGTAATCATACCCCAGGGGACCATTCATCTAATACACAAAAAGTCTAAGATTGGTGG